CTGTCTAACTGGTCCATAGGGAAGAAATGTGCCACGGGCTGCGTGAATAAATCATGGCATTCATTTTTATCCCCATCCACCAACTAAATGCTTTTTATTGAAATTAAGCTATGAATTGTCTATCATCCTTTGTATCAGTGACTCCAATAGCTAATTGGAAAGCATTGCGTTTTTATATTTTTAACAAATGTACTAAAAAATCCACTGACATGCTTTATTTAGAAAATTTTCAGACAGGCTACAAAAATCTGTTTCTAATATTTTCAGGTATGCAGATGTAAGCATTTTTTATAGGTGACACCACGTTTTTTTTAACAACAAAAATACCACTTTCAAAATATTCTCTTCAAAACATGAGTTTCTTTGGAAAAGAATTAATGTTCAAATGAGTCACCTAATTTACCTTGAAGAGTCCAATAAATTTGAGTTCATTTTAGTGAACAACACAACAAATACACAACACACACACATGCACATGTGTATGTGTGTGTATATATATACATATATACACACACACACACACACACACACACACATATATATATATATATATAAGTAAAATTTATTTAGCAATATAATAGGTATCAAAGAGTCACTTGTCATTGTAAAAAGCTCAGCAAATTTGGGACACTTGTCTTTTTTTTTTTGGTACTGAGGATTGAACCCAGGAGCACTTGTACCACTGAGCTACATCCCCAGTCCTTTTTATATTTTTTGTATTGAGACAGCGTATCACTAATTTGCTGAGGCTGGCCTTGAACCTGCAATCCTCCTGCCTCTTTTTATGCAAGAAAAACATATCCCTCATCTTTAAGTTTGATGGGTCCTCTGCCAAGAGATGACCAACAAACCTCTGTGTGGTCCAGGAGATTTTCCCTTCTGATTACAAATCATTCCATACATTTTAAATATATATTGTTTTAGAAAAACTAACCATATCAATGCATTCTGTTGTATTTTCTGTACTTGCATGTATGTGCGTGCATGCGTACTATGCTAGCGATTGAGTCCAGGTCTTATACATGCTAAGCAAGCACTCTACCTCTGAGCTGTAACCGCAGTACCCTGAATTTATCTTCTTAGCCACAGTAACCTGTGGGAAATCCTATAGGAAATTAGTTTCACACGTGTCACCCTCTCTTTTCATCACGGAGCAATCTTTCCATCAATGACTACACTCAATTTTACCCATAAATGGCGTTTTTATTAAAGAAGCAATTTACTCTTCAATGCATAACACCTTTTTCTTTAGTGGCTTGCAGTAATGTGATTCTTCATGTATTTCATTATTGAAACAGAACCCAGTAAACCATACTGGAATCATCTGTATTTTACCTAACATTTAGAAAAGCTTCTGCAGTGTGAAATCTGTTCTAGTGCTTATTTCCCACATCTTCAACAATATTTTCTCTGCATCTTCCAACGGGCTCACCATGTTGGTTTATGTTCTTACTGCCATCCGGTATCACCCCAACTGCCCAGCTTCCACTCACTACAAAATGAAGGGGGTGCGTGCGTGTGCGCGTGCGTAGATAAGTCACGTGATATGAGTCAAAGGAGAAATGAATTGGCCTCCTGGCAACCATCTCCCTCCCATCACTTCTAGCAAACTCAAGCAATGGAGGAGGCCCCAGGGAAAGGAAGATTGTATCTCATTTCCTGGATGAAAATGTGCTTTGGCAGTGAGCTTGTTGACCTGCTTTGCACCTGTCTGAGCACAGAGAATTGATGCAGAGACTTCTTGTTATATCTGACTGGATTCCCCAGGTTTCCATCTCTTAGAGAAAAACTGGTATTTTGAGTAGGAGAGGGAATGGCGCTGACACTTTCTTGTTCACTTGAATTTGCATTGTAAGCATCATCTCCAATGCGTTGTCCTTGGTAGGAATCTTGTTAAGCCACGTATCCATTTGTGAGAAAAGTTAATGTAGTTAAAAAAATTGCTAATGTAATCTGCAAAGCTACTTAGCTTGGTCCATGTGACCTGGAACATGTCACAGTAGATAAGGCTTATCAGCTTTAATTAAAGGCATCCAACAAAGCATTTCTGGGGATGTTGAGGTCAAAGAATGGAGGATCTAGGTGGAGGGGAGCTTGTCTGGAGGTTCTAGAGGTCAGCCTGGATTCCCCTGGACCCTGGCCACACCTGCAACATATATTTGTGAGATTTGTATATATATTATAAATTTTTATAAAATTATGTATATATAATACATGTAATGGACTCCCACTGACGGAGGATCTTATTTACATGGAAAATTTCTGTGTGTTTTGCTTACTAAGGTGGCCACAACAAAGTGCTATACACTATGTGGCTTAAACAACAGAAATTTATTGTCTCATAATTTGGAGGCTAAAAGTCTAAAGATCAAGGTATGGGCAGCATTGGCTTCTGCTGAGCACCAGAAGGGAGGTGCCTGCTAGTTTGCTGGCAATGTTTGCCATTCCTTGGCTTGCAGAAGCACTACCCTGAGATCTACCTTTATCTTCACATGAGTTCTCCCTGAATGTGTGTCTTTGTGTTTCCTAATTTCTCCTTTTTATAAGGACATCAGTCAGATTAGGGGCCCACCTTCCCTCATGTGACCCCACCTTAATCCAACGAATTACACCTACAAGAACTCTATTTCCAAATAAGGTCGAATTCTCAGGTGTTCTGTATTAGAAACTTCAACATATGAAATGAGGAGGGGACACAATTCAATCTATAATACTGAGTTACACCTCAGATGTTCCAACATAGGATCTTACAGGGTAAGAGCTTAGAAGTGTGTGTGTGTGTGTGTGTGTGTGTGTGTGTATTCCATGCACTCTCTTGAACAAATTTTCAAGCACACAACCCACAATTGGAAACTAGACTGTACAGCAGTCTAAATCTAAATCTCTAGAACATACCCCTCTCACCCAGCTGAATCTTTGCACCTGGCTTACATGAATTCATGTTTTTCATAAGAACCCCAGGTGACTAGATGCTCACAAGTTTGAGAACTATATAGTCACCTGAGATGACACAGAATGTCTCCCACACACCTCAAATAAGTAGAAATATGAATAAAATGAGATCACACATTTGAATATGTAGTTGAGTTCTAAAGGAATGAAAGAAAAAAATCACACACTGAAAATGAAGCAATCTAAACCAGAAAGCAGAGCATTGACTGAAGCTAGTACAGCCCAAAGGAGCTTTAGACAGGGGTACTGAGCCCTGGGGACTGGCTGAGCCCAGATAGATGTCCACAAAGAAGGTGACAGCCAACACATGTTTGGATCAGAGGAACTGGGTGAACCCTTTTGCATGAAGCTTGGAGCTTAAAGAGATACCTTGTCAGTGAAAGGGGGACTCAGAAAAATCAACCAGAGTTGTTTCAACCACCTAGAAATTTGGAAGATTAAGGAACTAGTGGCCATTCACATCCACTGAGGCACATATAAGAAAAAAAGGGGTTTTGGTTGGGGTAGAGGCAGCAGGTATTGGGGTCATTTTGGAAGAAGGGAGCAGAGTTGGGTTCTGGTAAGATTTGCCAGCAGATGATAAAATTTTAGAACAGGTAAGGGCTGGGCCCCTGAGCAATTGGGGGAAGGAGTTCCTGGAAATGAGAATGAATTAGGGGCACTAAGAATCAGTGGAGGAGGGTGCCAAAGATGAACTTGCCACTTGTAAAGATTTCCAAGATTGTTCTCTGCAGTTCCCCCTTAAATCTAGTATTAGTCAGTATTCCATTACTGTAACAAAATGCCTGGTATAATCAACTTAAAAAGAGTCAAGAATTGTTTGGCCTCCTAGTTTTGGAGGTTTTACTCGAGTGTTGGTTGGCCCCGTTGCTTTGGACCTGCAGGGAGGCAGCACATCATGGCAGGAACATGTGGAGAAGGAAGCTGTTTGCCTCATGACAGTTGGGAAGCCAAAGTCAAGAACAATAGAAAGGGGCTGATTCCCACTGTCCTCCTCAAGGGCACACCCCCCAATGACCTAAGACCTCCAAGTGGACCCACTTCTGAAAAATTTCACCACCTCCTGATGGTGCTAAACGGAGGACCAAAATTTTAACAAGTGGGACTTTGAGGGACATTTAAGATCCAAACTATAGGAAACCCTCATGAGGTCTGCCCCCGCGCTACTTTATCCCAAAGCCCACTCCTGGGCCTTTAGAAGGAGTAGCAAGCAGTCTCAGCAAGCCGCCTCTGAGCTGGCAGGAAAGCAACTGGAGTGCTATTTGCTCAGCAGGCCCAGTTTAGGGGAGCCAGGATTTCTAAAGTCACCCTTCCTCATTTGGGGACTTAGTTTGAGAAATAGTTTGTTTTTTTTTTTTTAATGAAAATTGCTATGCAAATTACGGTATCTATTTCAATTAGGTAACAACTATCAGCTCTCATTTGCTGGTTGGTATTTATCAGACACTGTGCAACTTGAAACCTACCCTGCTTAATCCTCATGACAATCCTATTAGGCAGATACAGTTACAGTCCCACCCTATCTTGTAGATGAGGAACCTCGGGTTCTGGGAGCTTATGTAATTTGTCTAAACTAAAGTCACTCAGTAGTAAACAGTGACACCGGGACTGAAACCCATGTCTGTCTTGCTTCTAAATGATATGTCAACAGCAGCTTATTCTGAGGGAGTCGGTTACAGATGAGGTTTGTCCTATTCTTATCTTTTCATTTTCCAAGCTTTCTACATAAAATGGAGACAAATTAATAGCCATAAGGAAAAAAAAAACAACACAACACAAAAATAATAATAAAGCCTTTGGAATGTGTAGGCAAGTGGAAACAGTAGTGAGGACAGTGATGTCAGGTAGGGGCTCTTATCCCTCATCCCAGGTACCCCCATCATACCCGGGGTCCTGGCTCACAGAGTCAGCACCTACCCCAATCTTTAGGTTGTTGCTGTTTTCTTCTCAAACCCAGGACAGAGTGCTTGTGACAGATGGGAGAGGCTCAGGGAGGCATGACCCCGACCCTGATAGGCCTCCCTCACTCTCCTTCTCCCCACCCACAGGTCAACCCTTTCAGAGACCGCATCTGCAAAGTGTTCTCACATGACGATGTGTTCTCCTTTGAGGATGTGCTGAGCATGGCCTCTGTGTTCAGTGAGCAGGCCTGCCCCAGCCTGAAGATTGAGTACGCTTTTCGTATCTACGGTGGGTGCTGTGGGCGACTTGTGGTAAGAGGCGGGTGGGCATACTTACCACATCTGGAATCCAGCAACAACAGTTAATTGATGGGATGGTGTTGACTGGGGTTTACTTGGGTCTTTGTGGCTATGTATCATGTTTCTCAAGTCCTAGGGAATAACAAAAATAATTGAACTCAACCTCAATGGATGGGTGCCCTCCCATCCATGCCATTCAGGTCAATGGAGTCATTGGTGTTGATATGTGGTGGTGGCGCAAGGGTGGGCTAGAGGGAGAGAGAGAGGAAGAGAATGACAGGTAAGTAGGAAGGGGTTATGTTTACTCAGCAGAAGGAGTGTTGGGTGAGAAGTTAAGAAACATGAACACTAGAATTAGGTCAACCACAAATGGCCAAGCAATCTTGAACACATCATTCCACTTCCCTGGAGCTTGGTTTTTCTCATATTTAAAATGAAGGACTTGAAGTAGATCAGCTCTGAGGTCCTTTGACTTTATTTGTGGCGGGGGGGGGTGTCTCTGATTCTGTCTGGGATAGTTTCAGGGCTCTGCTAACATTCTGCTCTTCACCAGGTAAATGTCCCCTTACCACAGGTGGCACACCAGGTACTCTCAAAAGAAATCAAAAAGAAATCTTGACAAGAGGTCAAACAGGCTGTGTGCAAGGCTTTGAGTGCACTGTGGCTTACATATACAGACTTGTACAATTCGGCATCACTCTTTCCATTTGAGCTGAGACATGCATCTTCTCCTGTCCTCATGCATCCATGAGCCAAATTACACAGGCTGATAAAAACCCTGAATTCATTCTGACTTGAAGAACCAGAGTGTTAGGGACAACTAACCCCTGAAAAGTAAGAGGAGAGTTCAGAGAGAAGGAAGCCAAAGAAAAGAGCCTATGTTTTTTTTTTTTTTTCCATAAGCTCGGCAGAGATCTCTTCTGACTTCTAAATTATATATAGGCACAAACGCAAAGCAACTTTACTAAGGATAAGAAACTGAACTAAGATTTGAGGAACTACTACATTTTAACAAGGCCCCCTGATTTGCAGTCTGAGTCCAACAAATTGCCTACTAAAGGCAAAAATTAAGCACTCTTTGGAGGAATATAACAGAATACAGAGACTCCACAGCAAACATCTATAATATCCAAAATGCAATCCAAGATTACACAATATACAAAAATTTTCTTTCAAAATTAATGCATTCTCAAGAAGGAAGACTGACTCTGACTTGATCCAGGTGTTGAAATTAATTGACAAGCATTTTTACATGGCTATTGTAACTGTATTTTAGCCAGATTCTTTAAAGAAACCTATCTAATAGTGAGGGAGAAAGAAAGATAGAGACAGAGATAGAGATAGAGATAGAGATAGAGATAGAGATAGAGATAGAGGCAGAGATAGATGAGGGGACTGATTTTGATTTCAGGACATTTTAGCCAGCTTTTTCATTGCTGTGACAAAAAGACTTAGCAAGAACAACGTAGAGAAGGGAAAGTTTGTTTGGGGCTCATGGTTTCAGAGGTTCAGTCCATGGTCAGCCAACTCCATAGCTCTGGGCTCAAGGTGAGACAGAAAGTCATGGCAGAAGGGCATAGAGGATGAGAGCAGCTCAGGACATGGCAATGAGGAAGCACAGAGAGTGCTGTGCTCACCAGGGACAAAATATAAACCCTAAAGGCATGCACCTCGTGGCCGAATTCTAGTCACACACTACCTGCCTATGATTAACCTCTAGTTAATCCATATTATTGGATTTATGCACCGATTAGTTTAAGGCTCTCGTAGCCCAATTATTTCTTCATCATCTCATACATGAGCTTTTGGGAGACACCTCATATCTAAACCACAGCAGGATGAAGGTGGCCAATAAGTCCCATGGTTTGCTGTCTACACACTGGATAACCAGGAAAGCTGTTGGTTTAATACAGTCCAGTGCCTCAAGAATCAGTGCTGATGTCCAAGGATAGGAGAAGATAAATGGCCTGTTCATATAGGAAGAGTGAATTCTCCCTTCTTCTGTCTTTTTGTTCTACTGGGCCCCCCTTTAATGGATTGAATGATGCTTACCCACATTGATGAGTATGATCTTCTTCACTCAATCTACCAATTCGAATGCTAATCTATTTTGGAAACATCCTCACAGACACCCAGAAATAAAGTTTTCCCAACTATCTGGGCATTCCTTAACTCAGTCAGGATAACACATACAACTAACCATCACAATAACCATGCCCAGTGATGCAAAAGCAAATATACTCAATATACTCATAATTAATTAAAAAATAAGAAATCACAGCAGAGAAATAGAAACTATAAAAAAGAATGAAATGAAAATTATAGGACTGAAAAACAAAACAACTGAAAATTTCAATGAATGGGCTTAGCAAAAGAATTAAGATGACAGGAAAGAATCTGTAAACATGAGTGATCTAATCTGAATAACAGAACAAATACTGAGAAGATTAAAGAATAGAGCCTTAGACATGTAGGACAATGGAAAGATCTAACATATATTCAATTGGAATCTCAGAAGCAGAGGAGACAATGAATGGGACAGAAAAGATACTTGAAGAAATAATGAACCGCCTTCCTAAATTTGATACAAGACACAAATTCATAGTGAATTCCAGGAAGGATAAGTAAAAATGAAATCACATACCCAAAGTAGCCCCGACCTGTCCATGACACTCTTCCTCTTTCCTTTCTTGCAAGTATTTCTAGAAGCCTTCAGAGAGTTCCCACTGTTTTCTGCTATTCTCTGTCATCTTTTTCCACCACGGGTGGCAGCTGTACTAGCTCAAGCCCCTGCCACACAGTTCTGAACAGGGCAGCTCCTCTGGGGGAACATGGATCCAGGCTCCCTGTTCATTCTTGACTCAGCCAAGAGTGTTCAAGTTACAAGTCACAGAGATTTACCCACATGAAAGGAACTGATAGGGAATCGCATTATAATCATTTCCATTATTGAATAAGAAATTTTCACAAACTTAAAGGCTTTAGATGACACATATGAGTGATTCCACAGTGTCTGGGAGTCATAAGTCCAGACATGACTGAGTGAGTCTTTCTCTTAGGGTTCACAACACTGTCATCAAGGTTCTCTCTGGGCTGCATTCGCTTCTGAAAAGGAACAATTACCTGAAGCTGGCTCAGGTTGTTAGCAGATCCATTTCCTTGCGTCCATAAGACTTTGGGCCTTGACCTCTGGTTGGCTATCAGCTGGAGGCTGCCCTCACCTCCTTGCCACATGGGCCTCCCAACATGGCCACTTACTCTTCATAGACAGTGGGGGAGAATGTGCTTTGAGTCACTTTGCTGTCAGATGTCTTACATAGCATCATGTGACCATGAAAGTGACTTTTCATCACCTTGGCTAATTCTATTGGATGTGAGCAAGTCACAGTCCTCACCCATGCAAAATAGAGGTGTGGATCATGGGTGCCTAGGGACACTGGAGTTTGTCCAGGCAGTATAGAACCCGAGGAGGCTAGGATGTAGCCGGGAAGCAGCCACTTTTCCCTCGCTGTGGCTGCCTGGTCTCTCTCGTCTTCTGCTCTCTAAGAACTTCCTCTTTCTCAGATCTGATTTTTATGCTTCTGTGCCCGTGAGACAAAAGTGATTACCCCCAACCCCATGTGGCCTGTGGGCTCTTCAGGCATCTGTTTCCTCCTTCATTTTCTCAGCAGGTGCTGATTGGCTTAGCCAAATCAATGATCTGCTGCCCTGGGCTGGAAAACCAAACTTGCTCCCCTACATCCAAAAAAGAAACAGAGTCGTGAACAAACATGGCCCGAGAAGTTGGCTGCTTGGGTGGGGGACACTTCTCAGCAATGGTAAAGTAATACCCTGGGCAGATGTCCTGAAAGATGTCTGCTCTGCTGTCTTTCCAAGGTTTCCAGAACCAACCAAACAAAATCCACAAACCCCTCAGGGGCTTTAAGAGCAGGAGGGCATCTCCAGGTTTCCAGCCCGGGGGCTGAACCATGGTCAGCTCTGAATCAGGGAGAGCAGCATGACCGGGTCAGGTCAAGGATCAGACACCACATTGCCCTCCTGTGTCCGTGGAACCCAAACAGGAAAACAAAAAGCTCAACACCTCCATGCAAATCGGCTTGCAAATAGATGCCAGCGGACTCATAGACGCCAGGCTGCATCAGAGGCACCCAGACAAATCTCTTTGGATTCAGAAGATTTGTGGCTTCACAAGCTGTCAGCGAGATTAGAAATGGAACTCGTGAATCCCTGTACCTCATGCCTGGCACATGGGGACTGCTCAGTAAGTCCAGGTGGTCGTGCTCTACAGTGAAGGAAGAAGAAAATGAATAAAAAGAAGGAAGAGATGGCAAAGTCAGGAAGTACAGGATGATCATAGTCAGGGTCACGGTGACGATTCGCAGCAAAAGTCCAAGACTAACTCAATACTCTCACTCCTGGTAACTCCGGGTGTAGCCTGTGGTCTGGCGGCATGGGCACTAGCACAAAACCTGTTAGAAATGCAGATCCTTGGGCCCTTCCCACACCCACTGAATCAGAATCTGCATTTTTAGCAAGATCCCATGAGATTCTTTTGCACTTGAAAATCTTAAGAAGCACTGCTTTAGCTCAGTGATTCTCAAACTTGGCTGCACATTAGAATCACCTGGGAGTTAAACAGAACAGAACAAAACAATAAAAACAGGTGCTTGGGCCCCAGCTCCAGAGACTTGATGTAATGGTGTTTGAGTACTTCCTGGTGTTTCTAATATGCAGCAGAGTTTGAGAGTTATTGCTCAGTCTGCTACAACATCAATGTTACATTCAGTCACTCTTCACACTGCTCGTGTTTAAAAAAAAAAAAAGCCTGAAATCAGGCATTCCAGAGTTGGGGCGATGACTCCAGGTGGCAATCAAGGACCCAGGCTCCTTGAACCTTCCTAATCTTTCAAAAATATGGGACCACAGTCCTCATGATCACAGAATGGCTTCTCTGCCATTTTATCTTCATTCTAGGCAGGAAGAAAAGGGGACGAGAGAAGGGATAAGAACAAAATGTGCGTTCAAATACATGGGTGAATCCATTTTCCTTTCACAAGCTAAGAACCCCACCCAGAAACTTCGGTTTATATTTCATTGGCCAGAACAATGTCACATGGCCATCCATAGCAGCAAGGAAAACCGGAAAGTGACATATTTTAAGCTGAACATGGTATCATCTGAATAACATTTCTGTTAGTAAGAAGACAAAGAGGGGGGGCAATCGGTCAAGAGTTCACCAAGAAATTGCATCTCCCTGGATCTTACCTCCTGGCCTCCAGTTTCTGCTTTGAGGAACATTCTAGCCTCCAGTTGATAATCCCCCATCTCTCCACACTGCGGGGAGATTTTACACATTTCAGAGACCAATACCCCAACCACAACCTTCTGCTCCAATCAGCATAGTCCCCACCAGTTGTGGATTCCCCTTGGGCAAAGCACTGGTGGCAGATCTTTCCACATCTTTCTAAACCTGACCCAGCCACAGAATGCTGGTGATTGGGAGAGACAAGGGAGGAAAGCCCAGTTCTCCTGGGAATAGCAGTGAATGCATGTCCCCCTCAGCCAATGGACCAATTTTGATAACAATACCTTGTCAATTGCAAAGAGCAAGAATGACAGAGACATTGAGACGATGATGGCAAGAGTCTTTTGGAGGGAACTGACGGCTGAGCCCTGACTCCACCAGTTTCCTAAGCATCCTGCTGTTGGTGTTTCCCAAGAGAAAGTCTCTACCTCCTCCTGAGGGGTCCAACGCTGCAGCTCCTAAGGCTGCTGGGGTGGCATGGGCTGGGACCTGGCCAGTGGCCCAGAGCTTCCCGCCTCTAGCCCTTTCCCAGGCTGTTCTGCCCTTGCACCCCCAAAGGAGAGGAACTGTCCAGGACTACATTTGTTCCAGCAAATTATTCTGTTTCCAGATGGCTTGGGACCAAAGCCATGTCATTTGCTGCAGTCCTCTGCCTATGGGAGCTGGGCCAGCAGGATGCCTGGGGACACTGCGGGGTCTCAAGAAAAGAATTCGGAGTTTCTTGCCAGTGGTGCAGTGTCACTGCGGCTGTGGCTGCTTCCAGGCCCCTCTACCCTTTTCACCTGCTCTGAGCCATTTCCTGTGGTGGACGATGCAGAACTGTGAGCAGAGAATCTCCACGATCCACTCGGGCCTCAGTCTCCAATTCTTGGGGCTGATAAACATCCAACCAGGGAAAAGGCACTGCTTAAGGAGCCAGGAATCAGTTGTGCCCTCCACATCTACATTCTGCCTTCGGAAACAGAGATGGTGACTCTGCCATTGAAAGACTCTGTGGTACCAGCAAACGCTGGACATCAAGTTCTCTAATAGCCCAGTATATGCCTATCTAGCTCCTGTTCTTCAAGGTGGGACATTACACAGTCCCTAAGGTTTGTGTTTTTAGTGCTGAATAATCATCCAGTGATGTCGAATTGAGTCCTTACAGTACAAGCATTGTCTTCTGTGTTGAGCACCTTCTGTGTTCCAGACCCCGTGCCAGGTGGATGTGACTCCTTATTTAATCTTTGCAGCAACTTGGGAGGTACTACTGTTATTCCCTTTTTCAGATGGGGAAACTGAGGCTCTGGTAATGAATTAGGATTAGATTTGGTGGTCAATGACAGGAAGCCCTATGCAGATCTAGTTTAAATAGGATAGCTTCTAAAACCACTGGGAGCAGATGAGGGGTGAGTTCACAGGTAAAGCACTTGCCTAACATACACAAGGCTCTGAGTTCTGAGATGAAGATCTCCATAGCACGTGGTTGACTCAGGACTTGGGGGTCAACCTAGCTGAGTTTGAATCCCACCTTTCCACTTTATGGCAGTGTGAACAAACCATATGACACCTCCATGCCTCAGTTTCCATTTGTATAAAATAAGACTAATAAAAGGTTGATTGTGAAGATTCAGTGACTTAAAATAGGTCAAGTTCTTGGTACAGGCTTGAGTGTGTATTATGCACTCAATCAATGACTATTATTTTTGCCACGTTACTTAGCACTTAATTGTCTATAGCCTGCCCATCTGGTCATGCCTTGCCCTGTGGGCCTGCCCAGGTCCCCCCGTCTGAGGTAGTTGGGCCCTGCTCAGCTTCCCAGAGGCTGATGGGATTCTGTGTCTTGGGCTCTGGGACTCAAGGCCCACAACTCCCATCACCACCTACCTCCTCTTTGCAGATTTTAATGAGAACGGCTTCATCGATGAGGAGGACCTGCAGAGGATTGTGCTACGACTGCTGAACAGCAATGACGTGTCTGAGGACATGCTGATGGACCTTGCACACCACGTGTGTACTCGAGAGCTGAAGGGCAGGGCCTGGGTGCCTGTGGTTCAAAGCCCTTGGGTATCAGACCACCCACTTGGGAGGAGACCCAAGGCTGAGCCTCAAGCAGATTGGCACACTGGCCTTTGGACCACTTATTCCCTGGTGGCTACCAAAGGGGTGGGAAGCACAAGGTGCCTTGAGGAGTGGGCACACAGGTGGAAGCAACTACCTCCCAATTGTCTGTCCTTCCCCCGAGTCTCTTCCATGGTCCCCAGAGCCATGTGCCTGACCCTGCAGTCCGGGGCCTCCCACCCACATGGGTTCCTGCAGGCAGATAGACCAAGAGCAGCTGGACACATAACAACATCCCCTCCACCTAGTCCCAGAGCCACACGATGTCCAGATGTCCTAGAGTGACCGTGAAAAACCTTCCAGTGTTTCTGGTCTGAATGGAACAAGAGGGAAAGAAGCAGCATCACCACCATCTTCCCACCTGACTGAGCCCCTAACGGTGCAGGGCCCCTGCCTGTGACCAAGCGATGGGGCAGGTGGGAGGAACCCCTGCCCTCACTATCAAGATGGTGCTGGAGAATCTTCCTAGGAGTGAGAGTCAGCCTCGGAGATCTCGGATCCTTAGTGCACACTGCCTTGTTTCTCTGGGAGTTGGGTGAGGGGTGAGAACCAGCCTCACAGGTGGGACAGGGGCCCCAGGAGATGAGTGTAAGCACCTGGCAGAGATCCTGGCATTTGCTGTCCCTTGGCACAGGCATTTCTCTCCTTCCCCCCGCGCCCCGTCTCATTGTCACCAGGCTCCCCTCAGCCTCCTTCCCCTGGCCAGGTCCTGAGTGAGTCAGACCTGGACAATGACAACATGCTGTCCTTCTCAGAGTTTGAGCACGCAATGTTCAAGTCTCCAGATTTCATGAAGTAAGGAGTTCTGGAGGGGGAGGGGTTCCCAGCATGGTGGGTGGGGGAGGACTCAGGAAGGACCCCCAGTCTCCCCTTGGCCAGTGGAGCATCTCAGTCTCCCCAAGGAATCACAAGTTTCCAAGGCACTTTGCAGATTCTTTCAGGATTAGTAAAGCTGCAGCTTCTGAGGAATTAGGCAACCCCGGGGGGACCTGAAACCCAGAGGGGAGGACTCGGTTCCAGGGCTCTGCAAATGATGGGAGTGGTCCAACCTCAGAAGTCCCTGGGCGGCCAGCACACCTTCTCCCAAGAGCCACTGCGCTGCAGGACTGACCTGGGAGCTTGCCTTTGCCCTAGTTACCCTGTGTCGCAGGAAGGTGGGGATTTGTACAGGAAAGTAAAGGTGCTGCTGGAAGATGCTCATAGAAGAAGAGAAACTTAATGAGATAAGCAACCAATTCCACTTCCGAGACGAGAGCAGGAAGGAGACTTAATGGCCTTGTTTGGTCCAGATCCCCTGAAGATGGCTGGCCATTTCCGTACTTCCCTGGCTGTGTTTTCCAGTCCTTTGGGGATCCTTCAGTTACAGAAAGTGCACTCCCTCTAGAGGCAGCCCAAGTTGGGGTGAAAGAGCCCTTACAGGGCTGTTGAGGTAGCATCGGGTGACCAGTGTCTTCTACGTCTGCCCCTGTTCTGCCCCTTGGTCTAATAAGCTAGGAGATTTTGATAGAAGGGAAGAATGCCCACTCAAGATGGCTTAATAACCAATTCAAAAAGAATAAAGGGGCTGGGGCTGTGGCTCAGGGGTAGAGCGCTCGCCTAGCATGTGCGAGGCCCTGGGTTCAATCCTCAGCACCACATAAGATAAATAAAGGCATTGTTCATCTACAACTAAATAATAAAAGATATTTTTAAAAAAGAATAGAGAGCTGGGCCTCATAGAGCACCTGGACAGGAGCCCCCCAATAACTGCTCCTCCACCTCTCCCCGGGCATCTCTGCTTCTGTCCTCACTCCTCTGCAAATCAGCAACCTCTGCTTTTTCAGACAGGAGACCTTCAATGGCCTCCCCACAGTGGCCAGGATTCTCTCTCTTTGGTTTTGAATGACCTTCAGTGACTCCTCAGTGACCTCTCTCAGCTCTAACTCTGAATTTCCAGAGACAGGGAATTGGATTGGCCCAGTTGAATCAAGTGGTCCCCTCTGCTTCCATATACCCGGATGGGGGCCAGAGTTCCCCATGCCAACATGGCAGCCAGAGGGCTTGTAGCTTGGGTGGACCCTAGAGATACACACTTGGGGGCCACTCCAATCAAAGGTAGTTCTTCTTCCTCCACAACACGAAATTGGACCTGGCGTCCGGTCTGCCTTGTATTTCTCTTTTTCCAGCACCATCAGGTTCTAAAACTTTTTGCATTCTAGTGTTGCTAAACTTAAAGAAGTTTCATTTGGGCCATTAGCCAGAGAAAGGGACATGAGAGGTGGGCTAGGGAGGACTCCAGGACCAAAGAGAGCCCCGAGTTGGAGGGCCCCTTAGAACCCCAGGCTCCAGATGAGCCTCTGGATTCTTCCTTTCAGCTCCTTCCGGATTCACTTCTGGGGATGTTGATGTGCCACAAACTCCTGATCCAGCAGCCTCTCGGAGACCCCTGGAACCCGCCCCTCCAGGCACTGACATCTGACTTAAAACATGACTTTGGCCCCCTCCCGAATATTATTTTCTAAATAAAGCAAAGGAAAACCCTTTCTTCAGCCCATTAATCCATTGCTTTTTGAACACAGGATCAGACACAAGAACGTGGCATTCAGAACTGCTCGTTCTAAGGCTTCAGTTTGCCAACGACGCCGAGCGAGCTGGGATGGCAATCTCTGGAGGCCAGGGTTCAAATCTCAACTCATGTCAGCACAGGGGACCAGGCCAAGTGGGATGAAGTTCATTAAGAAAGAATTTGTCCTTTTGTCCCTTTGCTGGACTTCTCCACCCAGCATCTCCCAGAGCAGAGGGGCATAGAGATGTGCACATAGCTGTCATTCCAGCTGGCGCCTGGCTTCCTTGTCCTCATCCCATGAAGAAGAATCTTGGCCCCACTTGGCAACCCCAGGCCCTTGGGATAAGACCACGTGTGACCAGAAACCAGGGTTTATTTGCTTTGCTATTCAGCCAAGTGCTGGGATGAATTTGGCCACTCCAGAGACACTTGGGGGCTGAGCTGGTCAGGGACTTTGGGACACAGAAGCAGCCTCTGTGGGGACTTCAGGGTCATCAGATACCCACCTGATAGGCACATGGATTTTCCTTATTTGCCCTGTCCTTGGGAAGGTGGTTAACTCTGGCTGCAGAGGAAAGGCTGTTTCACCTCACGTGCCCTTGAACCCTGCTGTAGTCCCTTTGCCTCTGGGTCGTGACTTCCTCAATCAGGGGCAACAGGGCCCCTCAAGCCAATCCAGAAGGTGGAACTCTGGGGAAGCCCTGCAGTGCGGTGGCACTCCTGAGGTCCATGCCCTAGAGCCTGTCTACTGAGACTTTGTCACCGTGTCCTGCTCCCTGCAGGAGACTCCAGGGGGGGTGAAAAAGCAACCTAGTGAAAGCAGATACTCCAGGCATTCCAAGGCCACCGGACACCCACTCCAGGGCAGGGCAGGTAGAGGGTCCTGAAACAGGTCCTTGAAGAGTAGCTTAGTCCTGGGTCACTCTCTCCCACTCCCTTCTAGAAATGGCCTCAGGGTAGATGCCAAATCAGCTTGTCTCTGCCAATCCAGGCCAATGCAAGAAGTAACTGCCTCAAGCACCTTCTCTAAGGTGATGCTCCTCCACAGTGTCCTTCAGGGTCCCAAAGTCTGCCCCTCAGTCTCCATATAGGTCAGAAGTAGAGTATATAGTGGAAAAACCAGGGCTCGGGCATCAAACAGACCTGGGTTCAAATCCTGGCTGGATCTCTTCTTCACTGTGTGTGCTTGGGCAACTTTCTCAACATCTCTGGACGATGTCTTCATCCATGAATTGAGGTGAAGAACATCTTCCTCACAAGTTACCACATGAGTCAAACAGTGCTGAGCCAGGGCTCCCTAGAGAATTCTTTCCCATCTCACACCCAGTATAATTGTTCTGGGGCCACTTTTTTAAAAAATGGATAGCATGCCTTTATTTCACTTATTTATTTTTATGTGGGGCTGAGGATCGAACCCAGTGCCTCACGTATGCAAGGTGAGCGCTCTACCACTGAGCCACATCCCCAGCCCAACTTTGCCCTCATTTTCAGATGTGCATTTCGGCTTCCTTGATTACACCAGTAGAAACACAAAGGAGGTCTGTGTACCTGAGTGACCTGCCACTGAGGTTTGGGTGCCCTTCCCCCTTTGGTTCTACCTGCCCCAGGATGCAGCTGGGCAGTGCTGATCCTGGGCTTGAGCTGAATTTTCCATAGACTCTTAATACACCTTGTCGAGTGACCCTATGGCACTTTCCCATCATGGTGAAATGCCCCTAGGACCCAGGGGAGACGTGCATGGGACAGTCGTGGCGAAAGATTTTATTCCAAGCAAGCCAAGCTGGTCAGGCTGAGGCTGCAGGGGTCAGCCACTGGTATTATGATCTGTACTCAAAGTAGCAGTCCCTCCTCTGCCGCTCTTGTGCAGACACCCGCTTCCCCGATGGGAAGGTCTGGTAGGTCCTCAGGTTCTCAGGGGAGTTTCTTAAAAGGTACCACTTCTTCTTTGGGCTCAGAGGAGGCCTGGATGTGAGGAAGGAGTTGGAGTCAGGCAGTGTGGCCAGGAGGAAGGGTGAAGAAGGCCCAACAGGCCATGCCCACCATCAGCCCAGGCTGGCCCTGCAGGCTGCTCATTGGTTTAATCTGATGAGTCACCCTGACTTGAGGGGAAAGTGATTTGTGTTTACATAGTAGTACAGTGGTTAAGAATGAGGACGTGGGTGTCAGACAGAACTGACATGGATTCTGACCCTATCTCCTGCTGGAAATGGACCACTATTGGTATCA